ACGGAACAGGATTGCAGACAAATTGAATAATTCCGGTTGTAAAAAAACTTTTTAATTCAATATTTTCGATGTATGTTCCACAAGTAGAACAGCCAAAGGAATTGCCAATGGAATTTTATCTCGTGACTTTCCCTACAAAAAAAGTAGTGCATGACAAAATCCCTAAAAACTCTAATATTCTTTTAAAAAATTAACCAATCAATAGTTGCACATCATATATAAAATTATTGTAAGACTAAAGATAAGAGGTATCTGACCGGGATGCGTTGTTTTCTTTACGGAATGGTAGTTACCGCGGAGACGTTTTTGTGACGTCGTTTTCAAATGAAGTGACGTCAACAATCAATTGTTAACATATCACTTACGCCCGTGGTATGGTCTCATAACACGGATCTGGTCTTGGTAGTGTTATATATTGACAATGCAGAGTAAATGTAAATATATTAAAGAACTGAGTAAATTTAGTTTGCTTACTTTTCTTTTCTTTACAAAAAGTCCCATTCTATGGGTTAGAAGCACTCACAACATATATGTACTTATATTTGATGAGATTTTTGCGTTAGCCGGTCGTAATTTAGTATTCAGACGTTTGATTCCCTTTGCCTTACTGTATGTGTTATATCCATCTAACTGAGATTCTCTGGCCCTACACCAGACGTTAGACTAGTGTCCGTCAAAATGGAAACTCGGGCTACATGTCCATATGCGCCCTGAGCAGTGCACTTACTGAATAATAATGTACGACATAGTAAAGAGTTTGATTAGCTCAGTTATACAACAAAGTGGTGAGAAAGCATTGTATGAAGTATGAAGTAGATTGGCCAAACGGAACTCAAATTATTGCGAAAAAAAGACCTGATTTTTTATTCACAGTAACAGTGACCTTGAGCTAATATTTTGACGTCACAAAGATTATGACATAATAAGTGAAATATCGACGTGATGTTTTTAAGGCTAACATGTAGCAGAAAACGCAAAGTCCATATCGACCTCCGCGGAACTATGCTTTAGCCTAAGGAATCGAAGAAAAATGGATCACATCTTATACATTTCTGTATTATGTAATTTTCGTTAGCAAAATCATAATTATTCATTTCATTTCAGATCTTTTTATTTTCATTTTTACCATACTTTCAATAGATGAGTCGACAAGAAAACAATACAACCGATGGAGATGTACATATGTTCAGCTTACTCAACAGAAATGCTGTATGACGTCAGCAGCATTAGACATACACCACTATACACTGCATATCTCTGCTACTTCCGACGTTCGATTATCTACAAAATATTGTCTAATCCAGACCGAATCAATCGACGTAATAGTTGATAAAGATGTCTTGCCTCGTTTGTATCAGATGGTCTTTGCAAATTGTTTTCTTCAAGGATCAAATTACACAGCTCAAGAACAGTTTCATCTGTGCATGTTAATGTTTTAGGACTAGATTCGTTCTCACAGATCATGATCTCATCCTCAAGTACGGGGCAAATGTGATCTTCTAAGTGATATAGTTGGGGTAAACTATACATCAAAACTGGTCTCTTGTTTCCTTCAGCACCTCTGGGCTTTGTGCGTATGACGTGAGTGTTCCATGTGTCTCGTAAGTCATCAAGCTCTCTCTATGATTAAATACAAATACGTAAGATGAAAGATTCAAAGCATATGAAATCAACAAGGCAATTGAGAAAATACAGTTTCCCATCAGATTTTACAATATTCTAGTTCCAGTGTGAAATACTACAGGTGTTAGAGACTGAACAAAGTTTTCCTTCGATGGACAGTGACGTCAAAGTCACTGTCACGGTGACCTACTTTTGGTGCACGACACACCATGTCACCAAGATGCAACCACAAGCCAAGTGAGAAGTTCCAGTATGAAAAACTATAAGTATTACAGACTGGAAAAGTGTTTTCTTTGATGAAGGTCAAAGTCTAATCACGGTGACATAGTAATGGTACGCGATAGAACGTCTCACCAAGGTGCAACCACATGCCAAGTTTAAAGTTCTGGTATGAAATACATGTAGTATACGAGTCACACTCAGACAAGGTTTCTTTTGATGGAGGTCAAATGTCAAAGTCAAGGTCACGGGGACCTATATTTGGTACGCGACACACCTCTCATCAATGTGCACTCGCATGGCAAGTTCCATTATGAAACAAGCATTCTGAGAGTATTTCTAAAGCAATACATGTCCCCTACCGGTCCCCACAAACCTCCCTACCAAAATAAATGCACCAACTAATTAATACTGGTACTGAAAGAAACATCCTTCTCTTTGTGATTCTCTTTAACTCACGTCAAACTAGATCAAACGCAGCAAGAGTCGGCCTTTATTCCAATTATCTCAAAAGAAATTCCTATACCAAATTTCAGGTCAATATCTCAAAGGACATCAGAGAGAAGTCCGGAAAAATAAGTTTGAAGAAAGGGCAATAACTCAAGTAAAACCTGGTAAAACATGACAAAAGTAAAACTTGATCTGTATTACCTCAAAAGAAATTTACTCAAAAGACAGCTGAGGAAAGTCCGGAAGAATAATTTTGAAAAAGGGCAATAACTCACGTAAAACTAGGTCAATCAATAGAAACCTCAAACTTGATCTATATTTCCCAAAAACAAATTCATACCTCAAATTTCAAGTCAATATCTCAAAGGACAACCGAAAAAGGTCCGGAAAACTAATTTTGAACAAAGAGCAATAACTGTCGTAAAACTTGGTCGACACAAACAAAACATGAACTTGATCTGTATTTCCCCAAAACAAATTCATAACCAAAATTTCAAGTCAATATCTCAAAGGACAACCGACAAAAATCCGGAAAACTAATTTTGAGCAAAGGGCAATAACTGTCGTAAAACTTGGTCGACACAAACAAAACATGAACTTGATCTGTATTTCCCCAAAACAAATTCATAACTCAAATTTCAAGTCAATATTTCAAAGGACAACACCCCCCCACACACACACACACCCCCACCCCCACCCATTTAATCTAAAGTGTTAATATGTGAATCAAACTACTACAGTAATTCCTTAATGAAATTTTCAAAACTTTCTTCGTTACAACACCAACCATTTTTAAATTATCAATGTTTACTTGACCATTAGTACATTTAGGTAGTCTAACATCCTTTCTACAATTTTTCATACACGAGTAACTTTTTTTTTAGATTAAGACAACATACAGACTCGGACTATGGGCGTAAATAACAAATACACATACCTGAATAATCTCTAGAAAGCAAAACTGCATAAGAGATTTGTCTAGTAAATCACCACAGTATAGGTCATTCATATCATTTTTCATGTCAGCAAATATATCCATGTAGTACTGTCCTAACTCTTTCCGCAGCAATCCCCAAAACCATTCGATTCTCTGATTGTGTGTGCTCCTGCCCGTTAGGAAGCTCTTTGCACCACTATATTCGTCAGTGTGATCACGGCGTAAAAACATCTGCATGTTACCAATGTAAACATTTTCAGTTCCAAGATCTGCCCTGATTCTTTTCGGACACCCTCCTTTCTTCCTCACCGAATCCAGGTAGTAGTTGGCAATAACCTTCGGATCGCTGTTTGTAGTTGCTGCCTCCAACCAAATCAAATATCGTGAATAACCATCAATGCAGCCATTGATAGCGATGCCATAAGGCTTTAACTTGTCATATGAATCGATGTGCCAAACAACGTTTGGCCCGGGGCTAAAATATTGCCGCCTCCTCAGTCGTTTTCTTTTTCTGTTTTGAATCCCTATAGGATCTAGCAGTTTCATTAGTTGGTACACAGTATCCCTTGCAATATTATACCCAGCTTGTTTGCATTTTAAGTGCATCCATCGATATCCATGCAATCTTCCCGATGTTTCAAGTTGCGAAAGAATGAAAACTGCAATCTCAAGTGAATCGGAATAGTTCTTCCTCCTACATAGTCCTAATTTCTTTAACTTCCGTTTTAAAGTAGATATACTGATTACAACTTTATCTGAATGAGCTAGTATGGCCAATATTTCCTGGTTGCTGAATCCTAATTGAAAATACACTTTTATGCTTTTATCAACTTCGTCCATCTTCGTTAATGTTTAGATCTAAATTAGCATTTAAAATACCCTTATATACCGTGTTTTTCCGCGTTATTACGTGTTTTAAATTTACGTTATTACGTGTTTTATCGCGTTATTACGAGTTTTAAACTTACGTTATTGCGTGTCTTTTCGCGTTATTACGAGTTTTAAATTTACGTTATTGCGTGTCTTTTCGCGTTATTACGAGTTTTAAATTTACGTTTTTACGTGTTTTTACGCGTTATTACGAGTTTTAAATTTACGTTTTTACGTCTTTTTTCGCGTTATAATGTGTATTCAGTTTGCGTAATAACGTGTTTATTTGTATTATTACGTGTTTTAAATTTACGTTATTACGTGTTTTTTCGCGTTATTACGAGTTTTAAATTTACGTTATTACGTGTTTTTTCGCGTTATTACGAGTTTTAAACTTACGTTATTGCGTGTCTTTTCGCGTTATTACGAGTTTTAAATTTACGTTATTGCGTGTCTTTTCGCGTTATTACGAGTTTTAAATTTACGTTTTTACGTGTTTTTACGCGTTATTACGAGTTTTAAATTTACGTTTTTACGTCTTTTTTCGCGTTATAATGTGTATTCAGTTTGCGTAATAACGTGTTTATTTGTATTATTACGTGTTTATTTACGTTATAGCGCATTTTTTTGCGTTATTACGTAAAAAATCACGTTACTTCGGGTTTATTTGCGTATTTACATGTTTTTTTCGCGTTATTGCATGTTTCCACGTTTTAAATTTTTTGCTTTGACACCATTAGGCTTTCGTAACTCTTTACATTCAAAATAGTACTGATAGTATATTATCGATAGTATAAGATCCGAGTTAGTAAAATAAACAACAACTGAAACTTTTACGACACCCAACCTGGTTTTCGTCTACTTTCGTTCCTTGTTCCCGCCGCTAGTAACGAAACTAAATATGAATCAACTACGGGCTGCAGACTTGCTTCGGCGAGCGGCGGATGCTTTACAATCGGAATCGGCCAGTGCATCCGATAGGAGTGGAGAAAAAGAACGGCCTGAGAACGCTAGATCTGTTGCTCAAACAGTAAGAGGATTGTTTTCCCCATACAGTAGGCCTATGCTTCGCAAGACCGGTACCAGAAAAACAAAAGGAGGCCATGTTGGTGGACCCCAGTGGGTCCATCGATTCTGCTGTTTATCGCAGTCAGCACAGGTAACCCATTTTGTATTTAAATTTGGCTATAATCAGAGATATTAAAGATTTTCAGCATGGTCATTTTCTACTGATATTTGCTGTTTGACAGCTAATAGAGTGTTCTGGTCAGTGTATTAAACCTGTAAGAATTTGATCTGTCATAGAGATTGGTAAATATAGAGCGACGGTGAAACATAAAGGCCAGCCAAATGAGAACGCTACATGTAGCAACTGTTTGGAGAAGGGCCACTACGCCAAGGAATGCACAAAGGAAAAAGTGTGCAGGGAATGTAAACTCCCTGGTCACATCAAGCCCGAGTGTCCTAAACTGTGGGTTGATCAGGATCAGTATGGCGATGCTGATGATGAGGACTGTAAAACTGAAGACGACATGTGCTCCACGGACAGTAGCAGTGCTGGTAATGATCAAGAGGACGATGATGCATACACCAGTACTACTGCTGATGCTCCAGACAATAAAGAGATTTTCGTGGAGGCTTCTGAGAGCAAATCGCGTTCGCGAAAACGTAAAGAATCAAAAACCGCGAAAAACAAAGAAGGGAAAAAGGATACACAAACTATGCTAGATAAATTCATGAAGAACACTCCTTCCAGGAAATCATCTCAATTGAGTGCAGACCTACGCTCTCCTCCTGAGGACATAGGTCAAACAGCAAAGAAAAAATGTGAAAAAAGAAAGACTAACTTATTCACCTTTTATTCAATTTATTCAATATAAATGTATGTACAACTGTGAAAAGCAGGAATATGTTGACTATAATCATTGCTATCCACTTATGTATGTACGATTTAGGTTTTATTTTCTTTTCCAATATAAAAAATGGACAATGTAGTATACAGTCTACATAATTTAGATGAAAAAGATATGTATGCTAAACAATACAGAATGAGTCTGGAAAAATATACATGTATGCATGTAAAGTACCAACAAATACACACTGAGATGTATAGTATATATCAATATTATAACAGGTGTTTATAATATACAATTTACATTCCACAATGGAAAATATACCAATATATGAACATATATATAAAGTACCAACAAATAATATATAGTGTACCATTGCTATAATATGGCACAGTACAAATGTATGTGCATAAAAAAAAAAAAAAAAAAAAACCAAAAAACCAAAACACTATACAATCTTATCTATAAATATACACTCTATGATTTGTCAATTTTATCTAACAAGAGTACAATATGTACTTTGAGAAAGAATAAATAATTAGAAAAAATAAGACAATGAAATGTATATGTGATATCGTTATTTTGTGTAATCTGTATATAGAAGGTGAAAATATGTATAAACAATACAACAATACAGAATGTATGTGTATAAAATGTAAAAATATACAGTACCATCAGTCACAATATTATGTGTTCACAATATACTGTAATTACCTTGATTCTAAAGTATACTGAATGAGCAATAGAACTTGTAGCAAGTGCAGTACGGTCAGTACTTTGATATAAGTACTATAATGTAACGTAAGTGTAGTATGATCAGTACTTTGATATAAGCACTATAACACAAAGGAAGAGTACATGTATTATTTTTTGGGTAAAAGCAAGTGTATATATACATTTATTTAAAAAAAAAATTTGTTTGTATGTATATACCTTAATATATGGAAGTAACCTCAGTTCACTATAATGCTTATATGTATGTATTTACTAGATATGTTCAGTATAAAAATACTTATAAAATGTATATACCTTAATATATGGAAGTAACCTCATTTTACTATAATGCTTATATGTATGTATTTACTAGATATGTTCAATATAAAAATACATATAAAATGTACTATTAATTTTAAAATATATCTATATTACTATTACCAAATTGATCATATTTTTTTAATTATTATATACAGCAATATTATTTGCATGTATCGTATGAAATTTTCTAATCTGTATATACGGTACTAACTATTATTTGTTGTGTAATTAGATTATAATTTCAAATCCATGACTAGTAAACTACATATTCTTACAATAAACTCCCAAGGTTTAGGAGAAAAGCAAAAAAGAGATAGATTTTATGCCTGGGTTAAGCAACAGAAAGGCAATATTATCCTAACACAAGAAACACATTTTAAACAAACAATGGTACCATATATAAAAACAGAGTGGCAAGGGGAGGTAATTCATAGTTTTGGCACAACACAGAGTAGAGGAGTTAGTATTTTCATAAGTAAAAAGATAAATCCAGAAATAATTGACATACACAAGGATAAAGAAGGAAGACTATTACTTGTTAATGTGAAAATTAATGACAATATATACACTATTGTAAATATATACGGACCTAATGACAGGAAAGGCAGAAACACATTCTATAAACGGGTGAAATCATTTATATCAAACCATAGCCTAGGTTTCATTATTATAGGTGGTGATTGGAACGAAATTCAACAAGCAGATGATAGATTATCAAAAAAAATACCAACAAAACCAGTAAATAGCCATAAAATGTTAATAAAAGACTTAAAATTGAAAGATCCATGGAAACTAAAAAATTCCAAGAAAAAACAATTTACCTGGAAAAGGAAAAATTCTACCACAGAAGCAAGTAGAATAGATTACTTTTTGGTACAGGAAGGAATTATACATAAGGTAATTAAATCTGATATTCGACCAGTTCTTATAAAATACACAGACCACCAAGCTGTTTCGCTAATGGTCGACATAAAACTTGTAGCACGAGGCCCTGGTTACTGGAAAATTAATAATAGTTTATTGAATGATACAGAATATCAAAAAATGATAATCAAAATTTTAAATAGATATAAACAAATGGAAGGTAATGATCAGTTATCAGCTCAAACTATATGGGATTTATGTAAAGTAGAAATAAGAGAAACATCTATATATTTTGGGAAGGTAAAAACAAAACTAAGAAAAAATAGGTTGAAAGATCTAGAAGAAAAACTTCAAGAAAAAAAAAAATAAAAATGCAAACACAGAGGCGATAAAGATAATTGAAGAAGAGATAGAAGTAATTTATGCACATCGAGCAAAGGGAAATCAAATAAGATCTAGATCAGAGTGGGTTGAGAAAGGTGAAAAAAACAATAAATATTTCTTGGGGTTGGAAAAATGTAGACAAATGAAAAAGTCAATAAACAAACTATATGATGAAAATGGGGAAATACTGACTGAGCAAGGTGAAATACTGAACAGACAAAAACAATTTTATGAAAAATTATATACAACAAAAGAACCAAACATTGAAGAAATTAAACATTATATCAATTCTGTTAACTTAGAGAACAGAGTAAGTGAAGAAGATAGTAACAAATGTGAGGGTATGGTAAATGAAGAAGAATGTCTTAAATCTTTAAAAAAAATGAAACTAAATAAATCTCCTGGATCTGACGGACTGACCGTTGAGTTCTATAGAAAATTTTGGACACATCTTAAAGAGTTATTAGTGAATTGCCTAAATAATGGTTATGAAAATCGAAAACTATCAGAGTCTCAAAGAACTGGAATCCTCTCACTGATTTTTAAAAAAAATGATCCCTGTGATCTAAATAACTGGAGACCCATTACACTCTTAAATGTGGACTATAAGATATTAGCTCATTGTCTAGCAGAAAGAATAAAGAAGATCCTACCAAAAATCATTAACTCAGATCAAAATGGCTTTGTGATGGGAAGAAATATTAGATACAATATTCGACTAATTAATGACATAATTGATTATTCAGAAAAAAATAAATTAGATGGAAGCATATTATTTCTGGACTTTGCAAAAGCGTTCGACTCAATAGAATGGCCCTTTATGTTATCTGTATTAAAACACTTTGGTTTTAAGGAAAATTTTATGAATTGGATATCAACTTTATACAATCAAATAAATTGTTTAGTCTCAAATAATGGATGGTTATCAGAACATGTTAGTATCACACGCGGAATTAGACAGGGATGCCCAATATCGGCACTTCTCTTTGTTATAACAGTAGAAATAATGGCCATTAAAATCAGACAAGATGAAAATGTACAGGGCATAAAAATCAAACAATCACAAAGTAGAGACTTTAAAATTTCACAATTAGCCGATGATACTACATTATTTTTAAAAACTAAATCAGATGTAACCAAAGCTCTTAATATAATTGAAATTTTTGGAAGTTTATCCGGATTAATTTTAAACAGAAACAAGTCGCAAGGAATCAGGTTAGGAAACAACAAAATATTAATAGATGATAATCATGAAAACATAGACTGGACCAATGAAAGTATTAAGGCATTAGGAATATATTTCAGTTTAGACATCAAGAAAATAGAGCAATTAAATTGGGAAACTAAGTTGGAAAAAATGCAGAGGATTGTAAATCTATGGGATAGAAGGAAGTTAACTATGATTGGGAGAATTCAAATATGTAAATCACTTCTAATACCAAAATTAACATATCTAATTTCTGTAATATCAGTACCAAAACATGTAATAAAAAAGGCTGAAAAAATCATGTATAAATATATATGGGATGGGAAAACAGAAAAAATTAAGAGGAAAAACTTATGTCAATCATATGCAGTCGGGGGACTGAAAATGTTAGATTTAACATCTCATGTGATAACTATACAATGTAGCTGGGTCGAAAAACTTAAAACTGATAACAGCTTATGGACATACATACCTAAGTATTATTTAAATAAATATGGAAATAATCTCCTTATTTTTGCAATGAACCCAAAAAATTTAAAAAACATACACGGTTATCTGAATATCCCTCTATTTTACCAAGACATTTTGAAATCCTGGATTGCAATCGGGGGAGGTGAAAGACAATATCCAAAAAAAATAGAAGACATAGCAAATGAGTTAATTTGGGGAAATCAATATATAAAAAATGAAAATAAAGTATTAATATATAAAAACTGGATTGACAGTAAACTCTTACGACTACAGGACATTTTAGATCAAGAAGGAAAGATAAGTGAAAATATCATTTTTAATAAGCTTAAAAATAAGAGAGATTGGATCTCACAAGTTTCTGTAGTTAAAAAATCTGTTCCTAAAACATGGAAAGAAAAATTAAAATATTCAGACATACAAAAATTCAAAATAAAAAATGATTATGACGTGCTAACTGTTAAACTTAGGAATAAAGTGAAAAGAGTTTGTGTAGACGAAATTTCGAATAAACAAATATATGACAATTTCCTTAAAATGAATTCAATAAAACCAATTGCATATATTGCTTGGGAGAACAAATTTGACATAGGCACAACAGAGTTGGGAGACAGATTTAAAAAGATGATTAGCTTCACTTTAACAAATATTAATGATAACAAATTGAAAATGTTTTAGATGGAAATTGATACACAGAATACTACCAAATAGTCAACTACTATATAAGTGGAAAATTAAAGATAGTCCGTTATGTAATGTGTGTGGGGTTATAGAAACATATGATCATTTCTTCACAAATTGTAGATACATTGCAGCATTTAAAGCGAAAATGAACAATCTCTTTGGAAAAATGGGGTACAAAAAAGATATGATAACTTTACGAAACATTGTTCTTGGAATCTCTTATTAACCTATATAGCCTATGCAATATATAAAGGATATTATGTAAGTGAACAAAAATCAATAAACATCAACATAGACAATATTCTAAAGAGTGAACTGCGTATGACTATAGCTATAAAGAAATATACCGGAACCGGAATTCATCATCTTATCCAAGTAGCTTGTG